GGAGGTGGCGGAATGGCGTTCTGCATGTTCCGGCTGAAAAAAAGCCTTAATCACAACTAGGTCTTATTTTTGGGGTAGGTCTTATACTTTAGCAATTCCCAAGAATAGCACTAGGTCTTATTGTCAGGGTAGGTCTTATTTAGGGGAAACAGGGTATCAGAAGAGTGGCTAACAAGCCCGCTATGTGGGTAGAATGGGCAAGAGACAGGCCTATTAGGCCCTCAGTGTCTCCCTTATCCTTCATTGTAGCTAATCAAGCACAGATTTGTAACTTTCTTGGTTACAATAGGGCTTTAATTGTCATTTTCTAGCTTTCTTTGTGGACTGCAGATCACTTCCCCCATAATATGGAAAAGAAAAAAAGGCCAAGTGTCCTGTAGTCTTGCATAAGGGTGATAACTTTGCTTTTTCATAGACACAGTACAATGAGTAAGCTTTAATTACCTTGGGACACGAAATGTGTTACTGGCAGGATCACCAGGTAAAAATTAAAGTAGAACTAATAACAGTTTTTTTTTTCAGTTTGGATAGAGTAAGGTGGGGTTATGACAGTTGTCTTTTATTACCGTCTGTATCCATTAGGGAGTAGTGATGGGCTGAACACCCCCGTATGATTCGCGTTCAAACGTTTGAATCTAACGTATGTTCAATCACAAACTTTGAACCCAGAGGACAATTCACTAAACGGTATCTTATTACATCCAAGTATGCAGTAAGATACCGCACAGCATTTTTCAAAAAAAATAATTGGCATTCTTAAAGATACATACTTCTGCTAAAGTCTGCTCCCACCCCTCCTCAGTTTGTATAACTACCATACCCTTTTTGATGCATTCAAAGTAAACTCCCAGCTTGTTGCCTCTACTAAAGGGGAACTCTGCTTGCTGTGTCCTCATCTTTAGAGAAGTGACATTTTCTCATAAAGAAAAGGGATTACACCTCCACTGTTCACCAACGTAAAAGAGCTCCACCAAAGCTGGCAGAAGAGCCTTTCCCGCATTGTGTGATTTTATATGGGACTTTTCACTTGCTGAAACCCTCAGAGAGTTAAACACTGGTTCTAGTTACTGGAAGCAGACAAGCGAGCTAGCCTAATATTATTAATCTCTCCTTTTCTGCTCATTTGGGGAAAATTCTCTCGGTAGGAGAGCTCTGATTAAACTCTGAGTACTGCAGGACAATTGGGTCTATTTAGAGTGGTAATTGTGCTGTACTCTGTTGTTTATTTTTCCTGCGTGGTTCATATTTTCTTACATCAGTCATTGATTCTTTGTGTGTATATTTCTGCTAATCTGACTCTAATACAGACTGATTTGCTCTTCATCAAACCCTGTGTGATTATTGTGTGTGTTATAGCCAGGGGGAACACCTGGATTAGAGATTAGGATGTAACAGCATTCCGAATTACAAAAATCACAAATTTGAACGAATTCGAGATAACAAAACAAAATTCGTCCAAAATTCAATTTGAAACAAAATCGAAAACAAATTCGAATTGGAAAACAAAATTGAAGAAACATCCAAAAACAAATTTAAAGTGGAGCTCATCCAAAAAGGGAAGTTCTATGAGGAGTAGGGGGGAACAGGTACCCAAAATTGACAGGTACCCGCTCCAACTTCCTCTGCGATCACCTAGGTGATTGGAAGTGGAAGTTGCCCCCCCCCCCTGTAGTCTTCTGGGACACGTGTTAGGTCCCAGAAGACTACAGGACCATTCACAAAGCGAGCACAGCTCTACTCGCACATTCGCAGTGAGCCGCAAGCTGTCACAGCCGAGTGCCCACACTGAAGATGCCGATGCCGGGAACATAGGGTAGCCGGTGAAACGGCTACGGGGAGGACACTGCGGGATCGAGGGACAGGTGATTGTCTGTTTTTTAAAAGTCAGCAGCTACGGTTTTTGTAGCTACTGACTTTTATTTTTTTTTTTTTTCACTGGAACTCTGATTTAAACTTGAATTTTAAAACAAGAATATGATTATAGAATCAAACAAATATTCTTGAAATGAAAATTCTCAAATGAAAATCTATACGTGTATGACCAGCTTAACTATTAGAAAATCAAAGTAATATTCTTGAAACGAATATTCTTGTCTGAAAATCTACACGTGTATGGTCAGCCTTAAGCCAATTACACACGATGAGAATATCAGACGAATGATCATCCATTTTTTTTTCGCCTGCTAGTCTCACATCGAAAGTAAAAAGGTTACTAAAGATACGAAAATTCTCATACGAAAGAAAAGAATTTCAATAGTGATGTCATGTATTTTGTATTGTATTTTTGGACAACTACTGTACTGAATAAACGAAAACGATCTGGTATCGTACAAGAAACATTTTTGCGCTTGTCCCTTCGGATATTGTCGCACGAATTGTCGTGATCAGCTCTCGAAAGCTGTGTACTAACGATCCGATTATCGGACGATCAGTCCTCGTACAAAAATTTTTATGCAATTTTCTTTTTGTGTGTACGGGTAATTAAGCTGGCCATACACGTAGATTTTTGGCTGAGAATATTCATAAGAAAAGTCATAAGAAAATTCTTTGCACATTCGATGAATGGACGAATGTCGTTCGAAAATTGTCTTTTGCTTTTAACTTTCAATTTTAAAATGTATATAATTTCTGAATGAGAACTATATACAGGTGAAACTCGAAAAATTAGAATATCGTGCAAAAGTTCATTTATTTCAGTAATGCAACTTAAAAGGTGAAACTAATATATGAGATAGACTCATTACATGCAAAGCAAGATAGTTCAAGCCGTGATTTGTCATAATTGTGATGATGATTATGGCTTACAGCTCATGAAAACCCCAAATCCACAATCTCAGAAAATTAGAATATTGTGAAAAGGTGCAATATTCTAGGCTCAAAGTGTCCTACTCTAATCAGCTAATTAAGCCATAACACCTGCAAAGGGTTCCTGAGCCTTTAAATGGTCTCTCAGTCTGGTTCAGTAGGAATCACAATCATGGGAAACACTGCTGACCTGACAGTTGTGCAGAAAACCATCATTGACACCCTCCATAAGGAGGGAAAGCCTCAAAAGGTAATTGCAAAAGAAGTTGGATGTTCCAAAAGTGCTGTATCAAAGCACATTAATAGAAAGTTATGTGGAAGGGAAAAGTGTGGAAGAAAAAGTGCACAAGCAGCAGGGATGACCGCAGCCTGGAGAGGATTGTCAGGAAAAGGCCATTCAAAAGTGTTGGGGACTTTCAAAAGGAGTGGACTCAGTGGACTCAGGCTGGAGTGAGTGCATCAAGAGCCACCACACACAGACGGATCCTGGACATGGGCTTCAAATGTTGTATTCCTCTTGTCAAGTCGCTCCTGAACAACAAACAACGTCAGAAGCGTCTTACCTGGGCTAAAGAAAAACAGACCTGGTCTGTTGCTCAGTGGTCCAAAGTCCTCTTTTCTGATGCATCTCATTTGGAAACCAAGGACCCAGAGTATGGAGGAAGAATGGAGAGGCACACACTGCAAGATGCTTGAAGTCCAGTGTGAAGTTTAAACAGTCTGTGTTGATTTGGGGAGCCATGTCATCTGCTGGTGTTGGTCCACTGTGCTTCATTAAGTCCAGGGTTAATGCAGCCGTCTACCAGGAGATTTTGGAGCCCTTCATGCTTCCTTCAACAGATGAGCTTTATGGGGATGCTGACTTCATTTTCCAGCAGGACTTGGAACCTGCCCACGCTGCCAAAAGCACCAAAACCTGGTTCAATGACCATGGGATTACTGTGCTTGATTGGCCAGCAAACTCGCCTGATCTGGATCCCATAGAGAATCTATGGGGCATTGCCAAGAGAAAGATGAGAAACATGAGAACAATGCAGAACAGCTGAAGGCCGCTATTGAAGCATCCTGGTCTTCCATAACACCTCAGCAGTGCCACAGGCTGTTAGCTTCCATGCCACGCCGCATTGAGGCAGTAATTGCTGCAAAAGGGGCCCAAACCAAGTACTGAGTACATATGCATGCTTATACTTTTCAGAGGTCCGATATTGTTCTATGTACAATCCTTGTTTTATTGATTGCATGTAATATTCTAATTTTCTGAGATTGTGGATTTGGGGTTTTCATGAGCTGTAAGCCATAATCATCACAATTATGACAAATCATTTCCTGTTATGGTGTCAACCCGAAATTTGGGATTTTCTTTTGCCTCCACTCTCTTTGATAGCGATAAACAAAACAAATAGAGAGGTTGGATCTCCACATTGGGGAGCACAGCAGTAAAGACCTGACAAGTGTTCTAATCTCTCACTACTACAAAAACAAACACAGTGCTTTTAACCACTTGCCCTCCAGAGGATTTACCCCCCTTCCTGACCAGGCCATTTTTTACGGTACGGCACTGCATTACTTTAACTGACAATGCATCATGGTCATGCAACACCGCACTTATATGAAATATACGTCCTTTTTTTCCCACAAATTGAGCTTTCTTTCAGTGGTATTTGATCGCCTGTGCGTTTTTTATTTTTTGCACTATAAACAAAAAAAGACTGACAATTTGAGAAAAAAACAATATTTTCGACTTTTTGCTATTAAACTTGTCCAGTAAAAATTTTAAGAAATCAAATCTCATCATAAATTTAAGCCAAAATGTATTCTGTTCCATTTCTTTGCTGAAAAAAAATCCCAATACGTGTAAATCAATTGATTTACATGAAAGTTATAGCATTTACAAATGGCGGTATATATACTGGAATTTTTAAATTTTTACTAGTAATGGCGGCAATCAGCGACTTATAGCGGGACTGTGACAGGCATTCTGACACTGGGGGAGGGGAACTGACTTGGTGTCACTGACATCCCCAGTGACACCAATACAGTGATCAGTGCTAACAAAAAAGCACTGACACTGTACTAATAGCACTGGGCAGAAAGGGGTTAACATGTGGGGCGATCAAAGGGTTAACTGTGTGCTGTTTTACTATGGGAGCAAGGTTTTTTTCACTGTAAGGACATTGCTTTGTATGGTTCTGCATACAAAGCAGTGTGCAGGAACTGACAGGGGAGAGATCTGTATTGTTTACATGCAGGTCTCTCCCCCTTCGGAAATCCTTGAAGATTGCCGGCTGCTGGTGGGGAATCACCGTCCGGGTGATTGATAGTCAAGGCTGCGAATATATATGTGATTTTGCACAGCGGTGCCACCCTGTAGCAGTATTTCTGCTATAGGGTGGCGTGGAAATGGTTAATTATACTTTAACCTCTTGGTACCGGCCAAACGCAAATGTGCAGCCCCCCGGCATCTGGGAATAGTAAAAAAAACATATGTGCCGAGAGCACGTGCCTGCACGCTCCCAGCACACACATTTGGTACTCACGGAAAGGTCCTGATCTCCTCTTTCGATCAGGACCTCTCCCGATCATGAGACCACCATGACAGCGAATCACGGCGGTCACATGACCCTAAACCCCACCCCACCTCCCGGCTTCTGGAACCCTTAACCACTTGCCGTCCGCCTACTGTTTTTAAACAGCAGGACGGTGGCACTCCAGGGGCGGGTTGCCGTTCATAAACGGTACCCGCTATTTCTAGTTGTGCACATTCCCTGGGAGCGCGCAGCACCACGATCCGGTGCCCGCAGTGTCCTCCGGACACAGTGAAACACCGATCGTTGGACGGGACCTCTGTACGAGGTCCCGATCATGTGATCACTGATTGGCCAATCAGTGATCACATGCAAAGTAGTAAGCAAGATGTCACTTGTGACATCATTGCTTACTACGTGTAAAATCTGTGCATGATCACAGAGGTCACATGGTACAAGACTATTCACAACAGCCTTGTACCATGTGACAAGCTCTGACCAATCACAGCTCACACAGTATTTCTCAATGGCTGCAAAAATGCAGACAGAGAGAAAGAGAATTGATTGTGTTTACATCCTATATGGGTGTAAAAGCAATCACTGTAAAAAAAAAAAAAAAAAAAATCTTCATCACCCCCCACAAGTAGTACAGTGTCACCATGGTGACACTGTACTGCTAGGGTGACAGTATGTAAAAAAAAAAATAATAATAATAAATAATATTATAAAAAAATAAAATAAAAATGTAAAAAAATGTTTAAAAATTATAATTTTTGGTTATAAACTAATTTGGCGTATTTTTTTTTTTTACTAAAAAGATAACGGAATAAAATTTGGCCAAGATTTATGATGAAATATTATTTATTTGCAAAATTTTATAAGAAAAACTTTTTTCAAAATCTTTGGACTTTTTCATTTACAAACCAAAAAAATCCCAGCGGTGAATAAATACCACCAAAATAAAGCTTTATCTGTCTCAAAAAAATGGTAAAAAATTCATATGGGTACAGTGTTGCATGACTGCGCAATTGTCATTCAAAGTGTGATAGCGCTGAAAGCTGAAAATTGCCCTGGACAGGAAGGGGGTAAAAGTGTCCGGACAGGAAGTAGTTAAAGGGCTGGGAGGTGCTGGCACCAAGGGGTTAAGGCAGGGGTCTCCAAACTATGGCCCTCCAGGTGTTGAGGAACTGCAAGTCCCATGAGGCCTTGCAAGACTTTGACATTCACAGGCAAGACACCCAGAGGCATGATGGGACTTGTAGTACTTCAACAGCTGGAGGGCCATAGTTTGAACACTCCTGCTTTAAGCGATAGAAAGCTTGAAAAAAGATAAATGAATGCAGCTATCACACCTAAGGACTGCTAAACTGAAATATACTCATTTTTGTTTTTAGGGTTTAGGTAGATATATTGCTTACCATTTCTTAGATGTGGATTAGTCCTCTTTTTTCAGACTGAGTATTTTCGACCAGTACAGAAGATACCTGTTGATTTTGCCAGAAATACAATGTCCCTATCACCTCCTCTGAGCTGCATAGAAATTTAAAACAACATTGTCTTTGAAGAAAGGCAGACATGTTTGAGGACCAGCACAGGTGACAACCATGATTTCCTATATGGATACAGCGGAGAATAAAGCGTAGCTACCCAGAGACAGGAAGTGTGCTATTCTCAGGATTAGAGGCTGTAAAGGCCTGAAATAAAAGAAAACTAATGTTGGCAAATCATCTGAGAACTGGTAAGCTGCAATTTATTAAAAAAATGTTTTTTTGTTTAGATACGATTACCATCTTCTAAACTGTTCACACTGGTAACAAACAGGTATAATGTAAACTTTCCTCTACAAAGTTTAGCTTTGTGTCATGCAAACGGGCATCTCATTAAGTTTTCCGGCTGTTGTTTAACCTCATTAAAGAGGTTTTTATAGGGAGAGGTATTAACATAGTTACTTGATAACTTTTACAAGTTTACTTCTATTTTTAAAGATAAAGGTATTAGGGATGAGGAAGTAAGGAAATCCGGTTTTGAAAATATAACAATGAACACTTTAGTGCCTAGATAACTTATTTATTTAATTGTTACTGGAAACAGAAAAGCTTAAAAATACACAGAAGCAAAACAGTTTAAGAGTATACCTAACATATCATGTCCCTGATATGTGCCTGCTGTACCATGTGTTAAAAAGTATCCTGTCCTCTTTGCATTGCTTCCTCTGTATGAAACCCCTGCTGTTCCTGCCAGTCCTTATACTTTGCCATTAAAGTAGACTTCCAGACGTTTCTGTGTTTATTAAAAGTCAGCAGCTACAAAAACTAGCTGCTGACTTTTAATAAACTCACACTTACCTGTCCCAGAGTCCAGCGATGTTTCTCACCCGCGTTGTCCCTTCTCCTGTTCTCTACTGTGGGTGTCAGGCTGTGACAGCTTGTGGCTTCACAGCCTGGTGCCCACTGCGCTGCGCCTCCGGCAGTCTTCTGGGACCTGTGAAAGTTCCCAGTAGACTGCTAGGTTCGGCACAGGCGCGCAAAATCACGTATATATATGTGATTTTGCGTTTCCGGGTAGGGGGCGCACGCCCTACCAGTGCTGCCATTTGTGGCCGCGGATGTCAATTACCAGGTCCCAGCTGGTGATTACTCGCCGGTGCCTGGTGATTTCAGAGGATCTCCGACATGGAGAACTGTTTTGTTTACTAACAGTTCTCCTCCCTGTCAGTTCAGGCACACTGCTTTGGATGGCTGTGCACAGCACAGCACAGCCATCCAAGCAGTGTGATTACAGTGAAACACACTGACACCGCCCCTTAGTAAAACACTCCCAGCACACAGTTAACCCTTTGATCGCCCCTCATGTTAACCCCTTCCTGCCCGGTGCCATTAGTACAGTGTCAGTGCTTTTTTTTTTAGCACTGATCACTGTATTGGTGTCACTGGGGATGTCAGTGACACCAAGTCAGTTCCCCCCAGTATCAGAATGTCCGCCACAGTCCCACTATAAGTCGCTGATCGCCGCCATTACTAGTAAAAATAATTTTTTTAAAAATCCCAGTATATATACCGCCATTTGTAAACTCTATAACTTTCACGTAAACCAATTAATTTACACATATTGGGATTTTTTTTTACCAAAGACATTTAGCAGAATACATTTTGGCATAAATTTATGATGAAAGTTGATTTTTAAATTTGTTTTACTGATCAGAAAGTGGGGTAAATCCTCTGGAGGGCAAGTGGTTAATTCCCATCAATATGATATGCAGACTTTTTTTGTGTGTAAACAATGAGCTTTGCTTCAAATAAATAGACAGCACATTTTGTTTCATAAAATAAAAAAAAAAATAATTTATCTAAAAAAATCTTATATTTTTAGCTAGTCACCTTTTGCTTAAAACATTCCACTGATTGATCCACAGTAATTAAAAAAATCTAATAAAGTTATTGACATTCATTTCTAAAGCAAAACAAGATATTGTATTTGTTTTAAATCATGTCCATTTCCTGTCTCCTAGAGGTCAATAACAATTGATTACCTGTTTTGAAATAGAAAATATATAATTTGTTGGAATGCCATGGATTGCTAAATGGGTGAGGTCCCTCTTTGTGTAACTTATTCATTTTGTTGCGGAGTGCAAATATATAGCTTTTGAGCAGAAAAAAGAGAAAAAAAAAACATAATATGATATTGCAGAAGAGTCTTAGAACCAGCAGGTAATATCTCAGAGTTAAAGAAAGCAGATTGAACTTGAGATTTTACTCAGAATTCTATATACAATATACTATATACATTTTTAATTATTTTCTAGTAATTTATTTAAAGGTCATGCATAGGGGTTTTGCACATATTTTCTTTATTATGATCAGAAATAAAAATGATTAGTTAGATAAATATGAAATGTGACAAGTGAAGATTGTGTAATCTTTTATACAACCAGCTAGTGGTTCTTTAGGCTCCTCCTTTATGGTTCAGATTTTCATGTAACTTTCACTCTGACTATATCTCTTGACTATATCTCTTGATAATTTTGCTGTTTATGTATTTTTCATCATGTTTGGTTAGTTTGCCCATGTCTGTGACATGTTCACTTTAATGTCTCAGAATATTTATGATCTCTGAGCAGATAGATAGCATGTCAGAAGTCTAACTATTTTACCGAATTGTCTAACAACCAATAATATCCAAAGGAATTGTAAAATATAGAAATTATCATAAGACTGAAATGCTCCATGATTGAAATGACTGAAGCTTCACAAAGTGAAAATATACTCCTTTTGTAAACTAATCCTGTTATCTCTGATCTATGAAACAAACTCTCATAGCTCTGAGATATCTAAGAAATGGAATCTATAGTATCTAACAATGCACCTTTCTGTTATACACATATTGTACAGGCATACCTCGGTTTACGAACGCCTCAGGTAATGTAATTTTTGGTTTATGAATGAAAATCTATTGAAAATAATGGCTCGGTTTACGATTTTTTTTCACAATATGCACGAATTAATTGATTTTCAATGCATTTACAAATTTTTTTTAATCATGTTCCTGTACGGTACTATGCCTTTAAAGTGCGCTTTACAAAGAGTTTTGAACAGAAGACTTTTTTTGACTTTTTTCTGACCTCCGGAACGGATTAATTGGTTTTCAATACATTTCCAAATTTTTTTTTAATCATGTCTCTTTATGCCTTTAAAGTGCATTGCTATAAAGAGTTTTGAACAGATAAAAATTACTTTTTTTTTTTACTTTTTTGTGACCTCCGGAACGGATTAATTGGTTTTCAATGCATTCCTATGGGAAACCGCGTTTTGGTTTACGAATTTTTCGCAATACGAAAAGTCCCGCAGAACGAATTGAATTTGTAAACCGAGGTACGCCTGTATATAGAAATTTTAGCACTGTTAGCATTCTGTTTATACAGATATATGTACAACAACCATTTTCATACTGTATATTATACTATGATTGCTAGTGCTGCCACTAGGTGGCGGTGGTATTAACAATTTCATTCTCTAGTGGAATTACATGGTATGATGTAGTTTCCTGTTCTATGCTCTTGTTGTTTTCCAATAAAGCAAGAAGGGGTCAGTCATGTGCCCAGCACCATCTTGACGGGTGAGAGTCACATCGTCATCAGCTTGCCAACAAAATACAGGAAGTGTCATGTATGCATGTGTGGTGGTTCAGAGATAGTCAAAACTAAAACCTTTCCCTCTACAGTTACCACTAAAGCATACAATATACAATAATTCATTTCTTGTTTTACCCGTAATGTTGTTTATCTTTTGCAATGCCCTTGTGCGTTACAATATGATGGGAGAACCACAAAGTCATTGAAAGTTAGGATAGGAGAACATATTGCCAACATTAGGAAGGGCTTTTGTGGCAACGGCCTAGCCCAAAATTATGCCCAACATCATGCTAAAGATCCAACTAACTTAAAATTATTCAGAATAGATAGGTATTCACTGGATGGAGAGACAATTGTAAATGTAAATGAGAGATTTCTGATCTTGAGATGA